TGTGCTGCCAGCACTGAATGTGCCAGGCAGGAGTGGGCACACAGGCTCAGGGCTCCCCTCCATCCATCCCTGCTCCCAGCGTGGGCGAGCACGGGTGGCACTGCTGCTGCAGGACCCAGGGTGGGAATGAGCTCACTCCATGCCACAGCAGCTCCTCAGCCCTCAGGACATCTCCTGGAAAAGGAGATGGAAAAGGAAAGATGTCCAGGAAAGGCTTCTGGACATTTGTGCCAGCACAGCCCCACCCCTGTGCCATGGGGTGTCCATGCCCTTGGTACTGTGGGGCACCTCCCAGCTCCATCCCAGCCCCAAGGACCTCCTGCCCTGCCCATCCTCCTGTTGTTTCTCCCTCCAGGTTTGGGTGGATGCTGCTGCACAGATTTTCTTCTCCTTGGGCCCTGGATTTGGAGTCCTCCTTGCTCTGGCCAGTTACAACCATTTCCACAACAACTGCTACCGGTGAGGGTCCATCCCAGGGGGCAGAGACGCAGTGGAGGCACCTTCTGGCATCTCCTGGTCCCCACTGCCACATCCCAGCAGCTCCTGGTCCCCTCTGCCACATCCCAGCAGCTCCTGGTCCCCTCTGCTACATCCCAGCAGCTCCTGGTCTCCTCTGCCACATCCCAGCAGCTCCTGGTCCCCTCTGCTACATCCCAGCAGCTCCTGGTCCCCTCTGCTACATCCCAGCAGCTCCTGGTCCCCTCTGCCACATCCCAGCAGCTCCTGGTCCCTGTGGCTGCAGGCTGGGCATCTTTCCCCATTTCACTGATGGTTCTGGTGTGAGGGGCCAGGAGAGGGAACGGGAGTGGGGGAAGGCCAGGGCAGCTGGAGGGGGGTGAGGGCTGACCTGCAGTGGGGTCTCTCCCTCCTTTCTGCCTTCCAGGGATGCTCTGGTGGCCAGTGCTGTGAACTGCCTCACCAGCTTCCTCTCAGGCTTCGTCATCTTCACCGTGCTGGGCTACATGGCCGAGATGAGGGACGTGGAGGTGGAGGATGTTGCCCGAGATAAAGGTTCTCCTCCCTCCAGCAGCCCCTTCCCCAGGCGAATTCCCACCCCCAGGGCTGTGCCAGGGAACAGCCAACCAAGGCAGTGTCCCCTCCTAGGGCCCAGCCTCCTCTTCATCACCTACCCTGAAGCTATTGCCAACATGGTGGGATCCACCTTCTTTGCCATCGTTTTCTTCCTGATGATGATCACCCTGGGGCTGGACAGCACGGTAGGAGGGGACAGTCCAGCTGTGTCCCCAGCAGGGACCAGGCTGGGGACATGTCCCATGGCTGATAGTGGGGTGACTGTCACTCTGTTTCCATTAAAAAAAGAAGAGAACAAAAAAATAAAAAGTTTTATTTCTGACCTCACAATATATAAAATTCTAAAAGTGACAGCGGATTGGAGGATGAAATGATCACCTCTCCAACTACACTGGTTAAACTAATAGTCTATCAATTCTCTCTTCTCACTAAGAAAATGGAAAACAATCATTATTTACATGAACAGTGCGTGAGAACTCCAGTAGAAATATGTAAACATCAGAAGGTATAGAAAACTTTTAAAAGAACTTTAAAACTTCTAAAAGAACAGGGTGACAGGTGACAAGGCGAGTTATGGCCATGGGATTGGATGGGATGGGATGGGATGGGATGGGATGGGATGGGATGGGATGGGATGGGATGGGATGGGATGGGATGGGATGGGATGGGATGGGATGGGATGGGATGGGATGGGATGGGATGGGATGGGATGGGATGGGATGGGATGGGATGGGATGGGACATCCCCGCTCTGCCATGCAGATTTTCTTGGAGAGCTGGGCTGTCCCCACATCCCATTCCCCCACCCCACCCCAGCATTTCCTTTGCAGTTTGGAGGTCTGGAGGCCGTGATCACGGCCGTGATGGATGAGTACCCCCAGGTCCTGGCAGGGCGACGGGAGCTCTTCGTGCTCGGCCTCATCACAGTCTGTTTCCTGGGCTCCCTCAGCACCCTCACCTACGTGAGTTCCACTGGCACCACCCTGCCCTGGCCCCCATCCCCTCCTTCACCCCGTGGGCTCTGCAGCCTCCCCTCCTCCTGCTGCTCCAGGGGGGAGCCTACGTGGTGAAGCTGCTGGAGGAGTTCGGTGCTGGCTGCTCCATCCTGGCCGTGGTGCTGCTGGAAACCATCGCTGTCTCCTGGTTTTATGGTAAGAAACCGCCTCTGTCGTGGAAAAGGCACCTACACAGGTGTGTAGCCCTGCCCAGGTGGGTAAATCCCGGGCACTGGGTCCTGGGTGTGGCTCCTGGTGTTGTGTCTGTGTGGATGTCCCTGACCCCACGTCCCCAGCGGGATCCCGGGGTTGTGAGGGTTCTCTCCTCTGGCAGGGATCCAGAGGTTCTCCCACGATGTCAAAGCCATGCTGGGCTTCACCCCGGGGCTCTTCTGGAAGCTGTGCTGGGTCGCCATCAGCCCAGCCTTGCTGGCGGTGAGTATCCACGGCCAAATTACAGACAAGGTCATCGCTGTCCCTCTGGACACCCTGCAGGACAGCCCCTCCCCTCTGCTGCCCAGCTCCCCGTGCCATGGATAACTCCCCTCTCACCCACACGAGGTGACCAAGCTGCCAGGAGAGGGGACAGGGCTGTGGGACCTCATCCCAGCCCTCCCCATGCTGCTGCTCCAGCCACGGGCAGTGCCACAGTGCCCACAGTGCCCACAGCCCCAGGACCTCCCCGAGAAAGGGAGCTGGAAATTCATTTCCCAGCCTTTTCCACAGCTCCAGGGCAGAGCTGGGTGCTCACACAGGTGCAAGCTCAGCTTTGTCTCACCCTCCCAGCACACAGCATCCCTGGCAGTGCCAGCCACGGGTCCATCTCCCGTGTGCTGGGCTGGATCTGTCCCTTTGAAATGCCAGCTCCCACGGCACTTCAAAGGCAGAGGGGTCTCATCTCACCGGATCTGCAGGAGAAGAGAACTTGTGAGGATTAATTATGGCTCTAAGCACTTCGCCCTGGTTATTAAGAGAGGAGTATTATCATCAAAGCACACAGCAAATGGGTTTTGTTTCAGCACGGGGCTGAGCAGCCCTCACAGGCCACCAGCTCACAGGGCTTGTTAGACAGAGGCCCCCAGCCCTCACCCAGCCAGGGCTGGCACTCTGGGAGATGTCCCTGTGATGTCCATGCTGGCTGCTGGCTGAGATTTGGGATGATGGGGGAGCAGCAGGATGTGGAGGGTGCTCATAGAATCACGGAATCACAGAATGGTTTGGGTGGGAAGGGACCTAAAAGATCATCTCGTTCCATCCCTGCATCCTCATAACCTATGGGGTAATGGTGCCAGGGCTGGGGAGATCAAGGAATTCTTTAGGTTGGAAAAGATCAAAGAGTTCAAGCATTACCCAGCACTGCCAAGGCCATCACCAACCCATGTCCACAAGGCCCACATCCACACATCTGTTAAAGCCCTCCAGGGATGGGGACTCCACCACTGCCCTGAGCAGCTGTGCCAGGGCAGGACGCTCCTTTTGGTGAGGAAATTTTCCCTGATGCCCAACGTAACTTGGCACAACTTGAGGCCATTTCCTCTGGTTCTGTCCCTTGTTCCCTGGAAGCAGAGCCCCCACCTGGCTGCACCCTCCTATCAGGGAGTTTTGGGGAGATAGAAAATCCTCCCTTAGCCTCCTTTTCTCCAGGCTGAGCCCCTTTCCTGGGGCTCCAGAGCCTTCCCCAGCTCTGTTCCATTCTCTGGACACGCTCCAGCCCCTCCAGATCTGTTTTGGTGTGAGGAGCCCAAACTGCTCCCAGGACTGGAGGCCTCTGTGGCTCTGCTTGTTACAGTTCATAGTGATCAGCTCCCTCCTGGACCAGCCACCCCTGACCCTCTTTGAGCACCAGTACCCCGAGTGGAGCACCTCAGTGGGATTCCTCATCGGAGCATCGTCCTTCATCTGCATCCCCCTCTACATGGTGTACAAGCTCGTCTGGACACCAGGGTCCCTCAAGCAGGTCAGGAGCAGGACTGACAATCCCACGGCCCCTGGGTGGGCTGGGGTGGGCAGGGAGCCCACTGGGGTCAGCCCGAGGCTGGGGAGCCGGGCAGGATCCTCAGCATCTTTGTTGGAGCGGCAGTGAAATCCCAGCGGGAGAGCTGCCCTGGGAAGCAGAAGGAACTGCTGCTCTGTGTTCTGTCTCTCAACCAGCGCCTCGCCGTCTGCATTCGGCCCGAGAAGCTCCTGCGAGCCCCCCAGGCTGAGGGGGTGGGCATGACCCCCGTCCTGTAGCACGGCCGGGGGACACGGAGACTGCTCGGCATCCCTCCTTGGCACAGAATCCCAACTCCCGGAGCAGATGGAGGCTCCCCGTGCCTGCCTGTAGCCGTGCCGGGAGTGTTCGGGAAATAAAGCTGATGCTTGATGAGGGGAGGGAGAGGAGCCGGAGCTCGCCGTGCTGTGTTCATGGAGTACCGCGCGTGTTTCAGCGCTCGGGCTGGGCGACACGGGGGGCTGTGTCCTGCCACAAAGATCCAAAATCCGGCGGGGGAATCGCCCGAGCCCGGGGATGGGTCCCAGGCGCTGCTGGAGCCGGGCAGGTCGGTGCCTCCTGCACCCTAATTTTAAAACCAAATCCTGGCTCGGGGAGAGGCCGGTGTGAATCAGCCACCTGCCGTAGCTTCCAGAGCATCATCACCGTTCCTCGGGGCCCATAAAACACCCAAAAAAGAACCCACATTCGGGACGGCGGGGGCGGGGAGGGGACACACGGGGCTGGGGGGACGAAGATGCCCACGGGGGTGCGGGGACGCGCGGGGTGGGTCTGTCCGGGGCCGCTCCCGGGGCCGCTCCCGGGGCCGCTCCCGGGGCCGCTCCCGGGGCCGCTCCCGGGGCCGCTCCCGGGGCCGCTCCCGGGGCCGCTCCCGGGGCCGCTCCCGGGGCCGCTCCCGGGGCCGCTCCCGGGGCCGCTCCCGGGGCCGCTCCCGGTGTCTCCGCCCCGCCGCCCCGCTGCCCCGGAAGGCCGGTCCCGGGGCGGGGCGGGCGGCAGGAAGGGGCAGAGCCGAGCCCGGTGCACAAAGCCCGGCGGGTCCGTGGCGTGTCGCGATGGGGCTGGCGGCGGCGCGGGGCTGGGCGCTGTCCCCGTTATCCCCGTTGTCGCCGCTGTCCCCGGGCCCGGCGGAGCGCAGCCGGCCCTACGCTGTGCTGCAGCACCAGAACCTGGGTGAGGAGCGGGGGACATCGGGTATAGCCCCGCCACGACCCGGCCCGGGGCTCGGGAGTTGGTCAGGGAGTGTTTAATGGATGTTCTTTCTCTTCTGGCCGCAGTGCTGCTCGGCAGCATCCTCAGCGCGCTCCTGCTCACCATCATCCTCATGGCCATCTGTGTCTACCGGCCCGTCCGGCGGCGGTAGCGGAGCGGGACCCGCCGGGGCATCGAGAGAATGCTGCATCCCACCCGGTTATCCCACCTGGCATCCATCATCCCGGCCCCGCTTCGGTCCTGCCGGTTCTCCCGTCTGGTACCCGCCATCCCGGCGCTGCTCCGGACCCGGCAGGTTCTCCCCTCCGGTACCCACCGTGCCACCGCCGCTCCGGTCCCGCCCGGTTCTCCCCTCCGGTCCCCGCCGTCTGCCGCCGCTCCCGTCAGCTGCTGGGGATGCCCTGAGGATGCGAGTGCGGCTTTTCACCCATCTCTGCCCGTCTTGGCTCCATCGTGATGTGGCTTCCAGCAGCGCTCTGGCCGGGTGCTGGAAATCACTCACCCCCTCCTTCCCTCAGCAGACAGACTCCTGGAGCTTCTGGGCTGTGTCCGCAGCAAACCCGCCCGGCTCGGAGCAGGGTCTGAGCAGAGTGCCCGCCTCCCAAATCGCAGCTTTTTGGCGAGGCTGATCCCGCACCGTGTGCTCCAGAGCATCCCCGGGGCGTGCAGGGAGCCGGGCCCGGGCTGGCAGAAGAACCTGGCGACACTGGGGACATTGTCCGAGGAGCAGCTCCACGTGCTCGGTCACACCACCTCTACTTTTTGCTTTCTGGTTAATTCAGGTCCTTGTTTGAATGCCGAGTCTTGGGGGTTGGACGGGGCTTGGAGCAAAGCTGGGGTAGTGGGGGGTGTCCTTGTCAGGGCAGGGGGTAGAACAGGATGAGCTTTAAGGTCCCATTCAAAAATATTCCAAAGGTAAAAGCTCAGTGACCCAGCCAGCAGCGGGTGGAAGGTCTGGGCCGTTCTTGCCTCTGAGCAGAAACACTGATGTATGACCTGATCCTGCTGTAGTTTTCCCAAGCCAGGCGTCTCATTCCCAACGTTATTTGCTTTAACTCCTGGCTAAAAGCCCCAAATAACCTCCCATCAAACCAGCCCTGCTGAACCTGTTGGGAACTGGGGTGCAGGTGAGGGATTCCAGCCTGTGCTGGTCAGTGTCCTCCTGGCAACAGGAGCCTCCAAAGGTCTGCAAGCCGGGCAGATGCTCTGGAAGAGTTTGAGCTCCAGCCAGACCCGTTTTATGCAGTTTCAGTAACAAGTGTTTACACTGAATCCCACTTCCATACAAATGCTGCTATTTTGTTTTGCACTGCTACAAGTAGTAACTGGATTTTACTAATTATTACTTTGATATTTAACATAGGGGTGTTTTGCTTAGTAATTTATTTAGAGTTCTAAAATGTAACTTCCAGAACAATTGTTGTTAACCTGTTCTCAAGCCCTCGTGCTGCATCTGAGGTGTTTTCTGTTCTGTTTCAAGGACACTGAGTGCTGGCATTGAACAGGGATTTTGTTTTGAGAAATGACAGAGTGAGCCTGGCCTCGAACAGATGGAGCTGTTAATCCAAGAGTGAGGCAGCGAGGCAGCACTGTTCTCTCTATTGCTTTCTGCTCCTCCTTTTGCTCACTGATTCCTGTGTTCCTGATTTTTCTTGGTCCTTCATCGCTGTGAAGCCTGGCCTGCAGCCTGTGCTGCTCGTGGGGGTGGATGGTGAAGCTCCCAGCCTCAGCTCTGCATTCCCAGGAGCAGAATTCCTGTTTGCTCTCATGCCTCACTCCCTGCTATGCCTCTTTGTACAAATAAAACGCTCAGTAAACAATCCAGGCTCTTATTTATTCATGGCTGTGCTGTTTGCTATTAACTGGGCTGGAAAGGGGTGAGGCTGTCCTGATTTCTCACCTCTGGTCCCCTCGTGGCTCCTGCCTTGTTTTTAGTGGGATGGCAGTGCTGGGAGAATGTGTCCATGGATGTTTGTCAGCAAGGAGCTGTCTAACACCACAACAGAAATACATCCTACAACAGTTGTACAGTTTCCAGCAGCTCAGCTATGAATCAAAACTCAGCCAAAGCAATGTAAGAAGGGTTTCCAAATAAAGAAAATCAGGAATTGCTGATGCAAAAATCCTTGAAATGGGGGCAAAAGCACAAAAAAACCACACAGTCCTGCTTTCAGGAACTAACAGCATCAACTTAAAGAACTTTTAAAGCTGGTTATAGTTTTAGAAGAAGCTACAGGTGTTTGTAACTCTGAGCTTCTTTCCTACATCAGCCTTAAGCTGCTTCAGAGAGAGAGTTGGACTCTGTTTACACAACAGTCTTGGCCTTAACACATACTCAGAACCCTCTGCCCCTCTCTTACAAGAAGGTGCAGAGAGAAATTAATATGGTTTCCTGTTTTTCATTGCTTTAACATCTGTATTCTACCGATTCTCCCTTTCCAAGGCAGGGAGACTCAAAACTTGGCTGAAAATGTCCAAAAAGTGCTTCTGGGGATTGTGTCTGATTCACACTAAGCCAAAACTACCTTGGAGAATTTCACATGTGATAATATCACTTTAATGTACAAAAAGACAGATAATTAGTTAAAAAAAAAAAAGGCTCCAAATACAGTGTGAGAAAAAATACCTGTGTGTGGTGTAGTGTGCAGTACCTGTGGTTTTTCTTCCAGCACACAGAGCATGCCCATCTTACACTGAAAATGTTAAGTCAGGCTTTAAGAGAAGCAGCACCTGGCTGAGGGAAGCAAAGAAATAAAAAAATTTTAAAAAAATACCCGAAAGCTAATCCAATTTATTTTACAGTCCCAGACTAAGAAGCAGGAACATAACAAAACTTCAACTGAAAGTGCTCAATGTTCTTTAGTTTAAATATAAAACCAGAATAAGTCAGCTTGAAAAATGCTATTTTTACCCCTCTTGTAACCTTTGAAAAGCTTAGCAGAAGACAGGCAATGCCAGGCAGGCGGGTTTATAAAGGCAACAGCACTCTTTATTTCCACTGAGGAATGCCCACAGCTCCATCTCCTACCTCCCACCCTGTCAGGAGCTCAACATGAGGCCTATTCCCTTTTCCCAGCTGTGACAGTCACAGGAATCCCCTTTGCAAAGAAAGAATATCCAATCCAGCCCATTGCCTCTGTGCAGGACAGTCCCCATTCCTGCAGCACACAGAAATCTGTTTTTTAGGGATGCAAGTTGTGCCAGGGAACAAAACCAGTGTGAAGTGGCCAATCCTAGTGTACACTGAAGGAACTGTAATCATTTCCTATGTAAAACAATGGATTATTGGTTTAAAATAGAGTTCCAAGTTACCAACTGTCCCACTGGTTATGATCAAGTCCTTTTTATAGTGATTTTATGTTGGTTAATTAATAGTTGGTCACCCAGAACTGCCCTGTTTAACCTGAGGAACAGGAGCAGTGTTAGGAGCAAGCTCAGAGCAGCTGTACCAAAGGTTCCTCCAGCCCTGCCAGCCAGAGCAGAGGGATATTGCTCACATTTAACATCTGTAAGGCTTTCCTGTGGCTGTTCATCGTGTACCTGTAGAGTGCACTTGAGAGTCACAGTGTGAGTATTGTAAACACTGAGAGGAGTGCAGATAAAAGAGCTACAAAGATCCTGTATGGCCAAAAACCTCAGGAAAGCTGGTTAAAACAGACCTAGGAATCGTTACAAGACCAGTTTGATGAGTGTAGGCCTAGTGGTTTGGTTTAAAATCAATAAAAATATTCAGGTAAAAAAATAGATGTATTCACATGAAGGACAAGCGCTGGGGTTTTAAAAAGCAACACACATTTCCCTTGCAGAATTGAAACTTCTCTTCTAATAAGGACACATGAAAATCTCCCCTGAATTCTTTTCCTGGCTGCATTTAGCACCCACACTCAGCCATGCACACCAAGAGATCCCAAAGAAGCACCTGTAGCTATCCCTTAATTTCTTGCTGGCCTCTGAGCAGGGGAACGAGCTGGTTTGGAATCCCTGCAGAAACTGCTGCTGTACTGGACAGATGGTCCCATTTCAGCATCTAAAATTTTACTGGTTACTTGTTTTGTCCTTTTTCAGAAAGCACTAGTTTAATCTGGAACTTGGATGAGCTGTTCAAGTATAAAATTATCCCTCTTAAGCCAAAAATCTCAATAACTAGAGGAGAGATAACCATATCTAAACAAAACTAACAGAAAACACCTGTCAGCATGAAGAACTACTCTGTGTGTGTACAGGCAGGGAGATGCTCTCCCATGAAACAGCTGGAAAAACAGGCAATGGCTTTGAATTATTAAGAAATAATGAAGCAGATGAGTATTTCTTTGGTAAGTAATGAAGTTTCCCTCCTGAACTCCCCATAAATCAGGCTTTCAAGCTTTACTGCAATCCTACATCCTGATTCAAAGCAAAATTTCCATCTGCTCTTCAATAAATAAGTTTAGATAAAAACAATTTCCTTCAAAGCTAAGACTGCATGGTTGGGGAGCCAAATGTGGAGTCCTGTGATCTACAACTCCCCCCCAAAAAAAACTAAATCAGGTTTTTGCAGCTGATGCCAACTTAGAAGGCAGTAAAACGTTTCCTTAAGCAATCCAGGAGTGGTCTTCAGACTGACAGCTCTGACAATCTCCAGTTTTACACAGATTTGGTCATCCCTGCTTCAGGAGGTCACTTAGCAGCTATTTTTCCACAAGGGAGAGCTGTAAAACTTGCTGAAGCTCTGCATCTTCCTTTTCCCGACGCTGCTTCTCCTGTTCCTCCTGCTCCCTCACAGACAATTCCATGGCAAGCTGCAAGTCCTTCTCAAAGCTGGAGGTTTCACTGGAGCTGCTGCTGTGGGAGTTCCCTGATCCTGCCAGAAAGCTCTCCTGCAGTGCCCTGATGGAAAAGAACAACTTTGAGAAGTAAAAGAGACAAAGCCTGTCTCATATTCTTTGCAATGATCCTTCCTGGCAACTATTTTAGATTCACAAACCTGAAAAATCTCTCCCAGAGGGGAGAAAACAGTTTGAGAATATGAGAGCAGCTGTTCCAACACTTCTAAAATTCCCAAAGTCAAACACAGATTCCTTTGAATTTTTCACAGATACTAACACTTCTATTTTCAATGAGCCTCTAAAAGCATCCTCACCTGGTTTAAAGGCTTTTTCATGTACAGAAGAACCCAGAAGATTCAGTTCCTGGTTTCTTTGCACTTAACTGAAGAAAGACTCCACAGACACCAGAGCCTATTTTAAAGTGTCCATTAAATATATGTTTTTAAGGATTACATAAGGATTTTGAAAAGACAGAAAGATGCCTTGAAGTGTGCAGCCTCTAATAACCAAACACTCAATGCAGAGGGACCAAATTCAGAGTTTTAAGAGCAGAAGAGAAGGACTGGGTTTGTATGTTGGCTAAAGCATCTGTTGTGTGCACAGACCAGCCTCACAGCTGGAAAGAACTACACAACATCAACCAGGGAGGCCCAGTTTGAAGTTCTTGTTTCTTGGAAAAGTTGGAAGAAGCACAAGAAGAAACCTCGAGTTTTGTGCATTTGTTCATATACATTAAAAAAAATCGCCAAATTGC